CTTTCTCTGTTTCTTTGCCTTTCTGCAGAACAAACTCCTGGCATTGTAAAGGGCATAATTGGAAAGAAAACAGTGGGATTCCTTTGACTGTGGAATACATGTGTGTGTTTGCTTTTGGCTAGGTGAACTCGAGGCTTCTAAGCTGGAGAAATACCTGAGAGTTTAGGAAGGCTTTCTTGGTTTTATGCAATTAAAATGAACCAAACCAAATAATAAAAGTCTTTTGTGATGTACTCGCCTTTCACACCTTCAAATTTACTCAATGAAAGTTAAAGGTAAACATAACTGTTTGGTTATATTTTCAGATAATTCATACATTCAATTTTTTTCAGCTAAGTCCCTTTATTCATCAGGTGTCACCACAGCAGAATGAACCTCCGTCTTATCCAGCATACGTTTTACACAGCGGATGCCCTTCCAGCCGCAGTCCTGTACTGGGAAACACCCATAGACACTCACATGCGCACACACATACACTACGGCCAATTTAGCTTATTCTATTCACCTATACTTGTTGTCTTTGGACTGTGGGGGAAACCGGAGCACCCAGAGGAAACCCACACACACATATGCAAACTTCACAGAAACACAGACTGACCCAGCTAGGACTCAAACCAGTGACCTTCTAGCTGTGAGGCAACAGTGCTAACCACTAAGGCACCACGTCGCCATTTTCAGTGAATAATGCTTGATATTTTCATTTTTACCTATTTACAGTATCAATCAGAAGACATCAGAAGAAGGCTGGGATGTTGTGTAATAGGAGTTATTTTGTTATGTATCCTACATCTGTTTTTGCTGCTTGACAGCCTCCAATATGGAAAAGAGCAGTGTTATTGTTCAAAATATATATATTTATTTATTATTCCTTGAAAAACTCTGGTCAGATGTAGTTATGAATAAATTACCACTTTTATTAGCCAATAGTTTGCCTTTTTATTAGCCTTCTTTTCAACGTTGTTTATGGCTTAATGAATTATTTCCCTGTACTGTAAATAATTTTTCCCCCAACAGTTCATCCACTTCAAATGCATTCTACTGGCTTTGGGGGTTCTGATTAGTGAAAAGGGGACTTGAGAATCGCAAGTGATATCATGAAAGATTTAAATGTGTGTGTGTGTGTGTGTGTGTGTGTGTGAGTGTGAGTGTGTGTGTGTGTTTTCCCTTTAAGGTTAATATCAGGATTCTCTAGTAATGTATACAGTAGTCAACATTTGAAGTGGACCAAAAAGCCTTTTAAATTTGTCCTAAGACAAGAGTTGGTGTTGTTTAATAGTTCTAGGGCAACTTTGATGCAAGGTTTTGATCCCCTTTTGAGTGACCTATTCATTTAAAGGTGCAGTAGGTGATTGTCTTCAGAAATAATTTTGTTGTGCTGGTTGATAGTCTCTTCACATTCCATTAGTAATTATTAAAGTAAATGATCTAATGGTATTTATAGGTATTGTTATATTCTGGGGAAGGCATAAGAGATAAAAATGTTCATCAAATTAAATTTTGTCAGGCAGAGAATTCCCATTATTTGGATAAGTAGCCCAAACTGTCTCTCAGCAAATCTATGTTTGAACAACTGTGCACCCAGTCACGCAGATCGGCTGAAGCTTGTTCACGTGGGCTGCTGTCACGTGGACACGAGTGACAGCTCTAAAAACAAATGCTGAATAAAACTTTTTTAAAAATCCTTAATGAATATTGGAGTTACTTTTGCACTTTTAGACAGGTAATGTTATGTTTTAAAAGTATTTTTATCACACAAAGCTGATGGGTTAACTTGTATGCCGAATGGGTTAACTTGTATGCACAGAAGTGTTGTTCAGCAACTGAAATCCTCCAACAGAAGATTGATGTGACTATTTTCAATTTCATAAGAGACCTTTTACAGCATCGATAATTTAGATTTGTATTTAGCTCAATATCAAAAAACATATGTAAATAGTGCTATTCAGCCTAGCCTGCTTTACTGAGGTGAAGTTGGTTTTATTTTCACATCACATTGGTTCATTATGGAACAATGACAACATGTGATTGTTTAACATGCTACTTTGACTATTCAGTCTAAAACAGAATGCAAGTACGGCTTAGTAATAAGTGTAATTCTTGCACCCCGACAGCCAACCACTATAGTCACTTCCGGACAAAGTGCGTGAGAGAGTAAGACCAGCATTTCTTGCATGGATGAAAAATTGCACATTATGACAAGTTTTGCTTGCTAATGACACAACTGAAAATATGTTAGATATGATACAGTTTTTCATTCAGAATTGTAGTATTATGAAGTACTAGAAGGTTTTCTAACTGGCGAATAGCATGGTCTAGTGGGTTGTCCACTGACATGTTTAAGGTGCATGTTTATGATTTCAGGAGGCGTGGCTTTGGCCGGTAGGGGAGGGACTGCGTTTTCAAAGCTATAATGCTAACGGTTAGCATTTTGCCAGATCACCTACTGCACCTTTAATCTTCCTAATCATGTTTAAATAAAATTTGAATAGTCCTTGTTAATTGCAAATCTACTAATATGCCTAATTGATTCATTGGTACAGTAGGATTTTTTTTCTTTTATCAGAGACATGTGTTATATCTGTAGAAAGTTGACACATACCCTTTCTTCAAGTCTTTTCACCAAAAATATGCTGCAATTATGGATGACAATAATGACAGAGTGTCTCGTTTTGGGAGGACTCCATCCCAAGGGACAGGGAAGCAGGCGATGATCACACCAAAAGGTTCGCTGAGCAGCTCCAATTGAAAGAATTTTGCCAGTCAGCGCTTTCCTTTTGAAAAAGCTCTAGGATTGTTGTTTTAGAGTGTTCAGTCAGGGGAGAAAGGATTTGGGGGGGAGATCAAGTTATTTATTTGCGGGAGCCATTTAAATGGGAACAGCGGCCATGATGGAGATGCAGGGAAATGGGAACTGGCAGGCTATGAAGACCGAAAATGCCAAATGTGGCATCTTGCCAAACACGTACACAAATGTGAAGTTGATAATCATGGTGCAGTAGGGATGCGACCGCAAAAAAATCATCAAAGCTTTTGTTGCTGACCAAAGAAGAAGTTAAAAAACAAAAGGCACAGCTGGTTGTGTGGATAACTTTCCTCTAAGTTAGCAGAATGACAACATGTCATGAGATACTGGCATCATGAATCAGTTTAAATTTTGGGGGGAGAGGGCAGTTTTTTCACATGATTTCACTGTCTTTCAGAGCAAAATTTTTAGCAGTCAGTTTTGGTCACTGTTTTTGTTTAGAAATCATTCTGATATGCAAATATCTGCTCAATAAAAAGTTTGTATTATTATTATTATTATTATTATCCTTGAAAAAGTAGTTTTCCCCAAAGATTCTCTGAGTAGAATGTTAAAAAGAGCAGCATTTATTTGAAGTTGAAGCTTTTCCAACTTTTAGTAATATCGCAAATTAACTGCTTAATATGTACAGTAAAGACTTTACAGTAAGTTTTCTTTTCTTCAAAAGTAAACATAATGACTACAAACATTTGAACAGATTTTCTTAAGTTTGTGTACTAATTAATAATGTCATTTTGATGAACTCTTTGTTAAATCTTTACATATTTTGTCAGAAATGACAAATGATTTTTTAATTTTATGTTTAAATGAAATAAATTTACCATATTTTAGTTCAATAATATTTTTAGCATTTTCTTCTCTAAACTCTTTATTGCATTAGTTATCCGTTTATACTATCTTAATTGCGTTTTGAGCATAAACCTGAAAATGAAAAAGATTTCAATTAGGACTGCACAATTTATTGTGTCATCCACAATAGTGACATTGCAAAGATATGCAATGTTGAGTCTGAATTATAGTTGAACATGAGCTACAGAAATGTATGTAATCACTGTATTTATACAGAATATATACAATTTATGCAACAACAAAAATGGTTTTCCCACTTAGTGAGAATATCTTGAGGCCACACACTTATCCCCCATTAGCTTGTTTCAAAGGAAAACTCATAATTTCAAAATAAGTTTTTTTTTTTAGATATTTGGACTAGAAATGTGACAATGTAAAGTAAGAAAAGCATGCTTTGCATTGTGATTTTTCAATTTATTTACTTGCATACTGTTAAATTCTACAGAAATCTTGTAAAACTGTATTCATATCGCAATATTTATCGCAGAAAAACAATATAAGATTTTTCCAATATCATGCAGCCCTTATTTAAATGTAAATTTTAGATTGTCTTGTAAATCAAAAATTAAAGAATGGTCTTCTTTTTTCCTTCACATGAAGACACCAGAAAGACATGTGCATTTATTGTCATGAAATACATGTTTCCTACATAAATTATATGTAAAATACACTGCACATGTTCCAAAACATTTTGTGTAACAGCAAAACTCTACGAAGAAGAAAAAAACTGTATATGAAAAGATTTCCCTCCTTTATGTAAAACCTCAATTGCAGTATTATATGTTATTGTTCAATAATATTTACAAGAGGCTTAAATATCTGTATCAACATTACACATGTGAGTTTATGACCCCTCATGGGTGTGACGTTAATCTATACATGATAACATACTTCCTGATGACCAGCCCTCTGTTAATGGGTTGGGTTTAACAGTACCAGAGGCAATGAGGTAAAAGGTAAATGCTTTTTTTAGTATGTATTAAATGCATATGTCTTTTATCGTTGCAGAATATGTGCATGGTTGATTTAATGATCTGCACTTGACACCAGTTGCCTAAAGTTTGTTTCGAAGTTGTACTGCAGTGACATTCAGATAATTTTGAAGTGTGCAAAATCAAATACATTTTAGGGCAAGCTGTTTTATATGCATTTCATGTGTCTGTGATAAGCAAGATATGCATTTTTCTGTACGCGTGAGAGAGTTATCTCCTCTTTTTTTCAGTGGAGCCAGAAGGCATTGACTGTTGTTTTTGTCTTCTCGTCAGTATAGGTCTCTCATAACTCAGGATGTGTTTAGAGATTCTGATTTCGATCCCATAAATTGTGGTTTCGCTTGTTTTGACTACAGGTGGCTCTGAGCTCGAAAGTGTGGGATGAGGTGCCCTTTCCAGAGGATTTAGAGGAGGAAAATGAGCAACTGGGAGATTATGTGGACGATGAAGGATATGATCCTTCAGGAGGTGCGTCTGCAATGCTAAACACACACACATATACTTGGATGTAAACTTTATGAGGACTCTCCATTGACATAATGTAGTTTATACTGTAAAAATTTCTTATTATATGGCCTAACTCTAGCCCTACTTCTAAACCCAATCCTCAAAGGAAATGTGTGGCAAATTTTGAATATCAAAAAACCCCCAAGTATGATTTTTTTTAAGCATTTTGAACTATGTAAACCACTTTAATATTCAAGTTTTACTTGTATAGCGCTTTTCACAGTAATTATTGTTCCAAAGCAGCTTTACAAAAGGTGCACATCATTACATTACAGTCAAAATCAGAAAAGGAGTTGTGTAAATAGATGACAGTAACTAAACAGTTAACCTGCAGTTATAATAGTGTACAACTAGGTCATATTCATGCCATTTATACAATTTTGTATCCTCATAAACCGTATCTGCAAACACGCCCATTTTTCCCGGGAGTCTCTCGTATTTCAGACCCATCTCCCACCACCCTCCAGTTTTGTTTTTCCTCATGTACCATGTACAATAGACATGTATGTATGTGTAAATAAGTCTTAACATAATAAAATGGTTTAGAATTGTACATGTATTTCATATTATAATAGTTTTTACTGTGATATTTGGTCTTGATGAGCATAAGAGACTTGGTTCTTTTTTATTATTACTTTTATGATTTTAATTTCTTTTGTTTTTTAACATAACAGTCCTTTACCCCCAAAATTTAAGCCCTTACAGATGAGAGAATTGGGGGAAAACAATGTAAAAAAAAAAAAAGTTACTGCCATGAAACGTTTATAGATTGAGTTACATTGCAGTTGCATCAAATTACAATGATAGATTAATTAAACTCTAAATGTTCATCTCTAAATCTTTTGTAATACTTTTATGAGCTCTTGAGAAAAATAAGAGACTTGATTCAAGTAGCAAATTTTGAACGGTAGTATATATTTGAATAAAGCATTCACAACTACCTTGCTGATTGTTTAACTAGTTGTTTAACTAGTTGTTAACTTTAGACAGTGTATCTACAAGTGCTTGCACACACATTCCTGCATAGAAACCATTTCAAGTGTTTCACCCTAATGTTTAACTAAAGTCCTGCCAAGCTAATCTTCTTCCTTTCTTTTTAAACTCTTTTTTTTTTTTTGGAACAGATATTAGTGGAGAAGAAGATGGCAGCACTCCTGAGCCAAGCTCAACTGACCCAGGCCCTACTGTAACAAGTGAGTCTGTTTTATTTTGTAGACATGAAGTATTACAACATCAAAGCAGTCACACATTTTATACCCATGTGATTAAAAAGATGTCTCAACAGTTTCTGCAAACATCTTGATTAAACTTGAAACTGTTTTAATCATCTGCTGAGGCATTGTTTGGAGTTGTTGCGTCTGTGAATGGTGTCTCAATCACATCCTGCCACAGTGATGAGACAGCAGCAGATGCAGAACAAGGCCGTCAGATCTGTGACAGAGGTCCACATAATGTTCATTTCTGCTTTACTAGTGTATGAAATAACTGGATTAGACACCATCATGCAGATTTGATACTCATTTATTGTGATTTAAAGTGAAGGCCTTTCCAGATATTTCACAACAATATTCGCATGACACTGAATGACTGCTGAAAATTCAGTGTTTGTTGGTTTGTTTGTTTGTTTGTTTGCACTTTATTGTCCCCAATGGGGAAATTTGTCTTGGACTCTAGGCCCACATTTGCATACACTGAACAGAAACGGACATGAGAAAACACAAATCAACACAAACATTCAATTATTAACAAATGTTACATATTTAAAAGTCTAATTGAGGGAAATGTAGGGAAAAAAGATTTCTTAAAATGATTATATCTGCACACAGGCAGCATGCATCGTTGACCAGAAAACAGTAACTTATACCCACAAAACAAACTGTGCGAGGGATCAGCTAATATTTTAATGGCTTCGTCCTGAACTGATTGCTCATAGAAAGATTGTATGGATCGATATTCCCTTTTCCCTGTGATTCTAATGTCTGTCCTCACCAGCCTATCAAGCTTAGCTTTATATCTTTATCAAATATTACAATGGGAAAATTATTTTAAACTATTGTATTTTTTAATATATTTGTGGTTTCTAAAAAAAAAAATCCTAAATCTTATGAGAAGAAAAAAAATGTAATGCATATAAAATAATACATTCATACTTGCTCTAAAATGAAAAAATTTAATTTCACACAATTTTAAGCACAAGGTAGGAAACACAATTGTAAATTAATCTTACTTATTAAATTGCAAAAAAAAATCTAATATTCAGAAAAGATTTTAGAACATGTAATCAAAAAAATTATATTTTTATGTATCATTTCCAATTAGTTTCTGATGATATAACCTTGGATAAAAATATCAAGGTTTCACAGTATCATGGTATTGCGATTACTGCTTTAAAATAAGTTCTTTTTAAATGTCTGGGGGAAAAACAACCACTTTTCCCCCCATTGAATGCAATAGATTTAATTTTTGGAAACATTCATCCATTCATTCATTTTCTTGTAGGCTTAGTCCCTTTATTAATCCGGGGTTGCCACAGCGAAATGAACCGCCAACTTATCCAGCAAGTTTTTACGCAGCAGATGCCCTTCCAGCCGCAACACATATCTGGGAAAATTTTAGGAAACATTTAAAATATTTTGGAACAGTAAACATGTCAGGCTAAATAATTAAAATAATTCATTTACTTCTGTTCTCTTCATTCGTTTTAAAAACATTAAATTTTTTACAACACATAAAACATAAAAAAAACTTACATATACCTTAGGTAGAGTATATCAGAAAATTTGAACAGTTTTAAAAATACTTTTTTGACCGAAATTAATTATTCAGTAATTATATTTAGTAATTATTCAGTAAATTTGCATATCATTTAACCTAATTATCTGACTTAATTGTGAACATTTAATTTTTTTTATAGAATTTATTCACAATTCCGCATTTTTTTATGCAAAAGCCTAAAATGTGCATAAAATCTAGTGGATGGAACCACGTGAGAGGTGATGTTTAAGAGCTGACTCATTCAGTTGTTTAACTCTGGCACCTCTTTTGTTGACATTGTCACCCTCTGGTACTCAATCTTATGGCTATAACAGAAATATAGCTTTCTAATTTAAGAGGCAGCATATTTGTGTGAAGGTGTCCATGCAGGGCTATTCTGGGAGTGAAGCTCAGGTGTCGAACTGCACAGCTCTTACCAAAACAATCATTCCACCATGATGTCATGCAATACAATAGGCCAGACTGACTCCAAAAAGGACAGACGGGGAAGCAAAAGTCATTCCAAAGAAGAGCTTCAAAGATAGAAAAGTTTAGAAGGGAAACTGCAACAGTCTGACACTGTGGCTGAGAGTCTTTCAGTATCTGCATCTGTAAGTAATGCAAGGTCTGATTCAAAAGTGAGGCCACACACATAAAGAGTACAATAACAGAATTGTGTTAAGAGGGTTTAAAAATGATTATTTGGAAAAGGGCATGGGACGATAACCGGTTTCATGGTTTACCATGGTTTGGAAAAGTCAAGGAATTTTTGCCTCAACTGATGATTTGATTGGATAACTTAAATTAGCATAATCCTGTTACCCAAAACCAGTTTGCTTGTTTTTCTTCCACCAGTTACATTTGCATTTTAATTTCAAAATACTCTGAATTTTCAGGTTAAAGAAGGTGGTAGGGTTTTTTTTTTAATTAGGTTTGTTGCCACAGTAATTTCTATACAAAAATTTCATACAGCTAACCTACTTTGAATCTGAAGCAGGTTTTATTCTGAGTTAGAGATTGCAAACCCAAACTCGCCCAATTAGCTATGAGCAAAGTGACAAATATATCTGATCATTAAATGAAGCCTTATGATTGTATCTGAATATTGTATATTCAAACAGTTAATTAGAAATGTTAATTGACATAAATAATGACTTTAAATAAAAAAAAATACATTTAGCTATGGACATATATATTTGCTTAAATATATATATATATATATATATATATATATATATATATATATATATATATATATATATATATATATATATAAAGGTTTTAAAATGTTAATAAAAAGCTTTTTAAAAGTCTTTTGAGCTGTTGTTGAACATACATTTTTTTAAATTTGCATTTATATGTTAATATTTGCTTAAAGACTCAAACTTTTACTCCATAAGAGTTCATTTTATTTCCGATAATGATATCTTTTTTTTAAAATCTTTTTTCTTTTCTTTTCTTTATTTTTATGCCAAGTACGGATGTCCTTGTTTATACAGATATAAATATTCAGATTTTAGAGTAGTTTACAGTTGAAGTTAGAATTATTTGCCCCCTCTTTATTTATTTATTTATTTAATATTTCCCAAATGATGTTTAACAGAGCACAAATTCTAATTTGTTTTATTTTGGCTAGAATATAATCAGTTTTTAATTGTTTAAAAAACATTTTAAGGTAAAAAAAAATTATTAGCCCCTTTAAGCTAAATTATTTGATAGTTACAGATCATCACTATACAATAACTTGCCTGATTACCCTAACATGCCTAGTTAAGCTCATTAACCTGGTTAAGACCTTTAAATGTCACTTTAAGCTGTATAGAAGTGTCTCAAAAAATATCTAGTCAAACATTGTTTACTGTCATCATGGCAAAGATAAAATAAATCGGTTATTAGAGATGAGTTATCAAAACTATTATGTTTAGAAATGTGTTGAAAAAAAATTTCTCCGTTAAACAGAAATTGGGGAAAAAATGAACAAGGGGGCTAATAATTTAGGGGAGCTAATAATTCTTTGTTGTAAATATATTTTTATAAACCCACTTCAACAAACCCTAAACAGCAAAACAATATCTTTATCTTAATCAACAGAAATTATTTGCTCACTCTTTCCAGAAATCACTAAAACTGATTCTCTCATGCTTTGTGTGATTGGCTGCTTAAGCTGCATTTGGTCTAGAGTTAATCACAAACTGTAGGTTAAACCTCAAGTTGACAGAACGTTTATATCAAGCTTTGAAAAATCACTAAACGTCTCAACCAGTTTGGATTTGTTTGTTTTTGTCAGCCTGAAACTTACTCTACAAGCTAATAATAAGTAATAATTCAAACACCTGAGCAAAAGTTGGTCCTCAAAACGATCACTATCACCACAGCCTTATCACCCTGTAGCCCAAGAACAGTTATTCACTGAAGCTAAGCAGGGCTTTACCTGGTCAGTACCTGGATATGAGGCCACATGGAGAAAACTGGGTTGCTGTTAGTGACTCCAGCAGGAGGCGCTCAATCTGCAGTCTGTGTGAGTCCTAATACCCCAGTAAAGTGAAGGGGACACTGTACTGTCAGTGAGCGGCATCTTTTGGAATAGATGTTAAACCAAGGTCCTCGGTTTTAAAATTCAAAATTAAAATGGCACTTCTCGTAAAGAGTATGGGTGTAACCCTGGCCAAATCCTCTTCATCAGCCCTTACCCATCATAGCCTCTCAATCATCCCCATCCACCGAGTTGGCTCTATCTTGGTCTCTCCACTCCATCTATAGCTGGTGTGTGGTGAGCGCACTGGCGTGGTCGTCCTGTGGCTGCCATCGCATCATCCAAGTGGATGCTGCACACTGGTGATGGTGTGGAGAGACCCCCCGCCTCATGATTGTAAACTGCTTTGGGTGTATGGCCATACACAATAAATGCACTATATAAATACTTACTAATGTTTTCACAAGCATTAGACCCAAAATAGTGTAAAAGAGTTTGTTTTTGTGTCTCCTTACACTCTGAGGTTCTGCTTATTTACTATAAGTGAGAAAAAAAGATTTACAGCTGTTTTTCAGCTTGCAGAATAAGAAATTATTTTTTATTATTCATAATTCATGCTAGTTTTCCAGGCATTGACCATTTTTATTCTTTTGAGTGCATGGGATGAATGGCATTAGGTTAATTCACAACTAATGTAAACACGACTTCTGAGACTTCAGGTTATGAAGCGGCCACCTGCAGGATTTACATTCTCCAAGCAGACATACAGTTTGCTAAATTTAGACCCAAGTTCTGAAGTTCCTCTAAGCTTGAACTGTAACATAAAGTTGATCCGATGACCCACTGAGGATCTTTGCGGTTCAGCACGCCACATGAGGTTGGTTTGAAGTCATTTCTCCAAACATATTTCTGATCTCTGTGGATTTGGGAGATTCATAAATAACAAAGCAACATCTTTTAACATAA